TTTTTCAAATTGGTTCTAAAATGTAGGAATTTTAGGTCGTAGAAGTGGAAGGGTGATTTGGATGAAACCTACAACAGCTGAAAATGCTGAGACAGGTCTCTAGCAACTGAATCTTTCCTCTTTAGTCAGAGACTAATCCCCATGAGAAAAGATTTCGCTTCATAGCTCGCGATTTGGTGCTCGTAATGGCAATAGATCTGATTGCAGACTCACTTGTTCTGGCTTCAGAACTCATTTCCCAGGTCGTAGAAAGCATGCTTGAGGTCGTAGTTGCAACCAACAATGTCCTAGTTAACAAAGACAGTTTCAGGGAACTTGCAACTTACATGGAAAAAATTGTTCCAATACTGAAAGAATTGAATCAAAAGAATGTGGATTCTGATGTCTTAAACAAGTCTATTGAGATTCTCAATCGAGAGACAAATGCTGCAAAGCACCTGACACTAGAATGTGGGAAAAGAAATAAAGTGTATCTTTTGATGAATTGCAGGATGATAGTTAATCGTCTAGAGAAAATAACAAAAGAAATTAGCCGAGCTTTGTCTCTCCTACCTTTAGCCTCTCTGGATCTTGCATCTGTAACAGCTGAAGAAATTGAAAACCTCTACAACAATATGCAGAGAGCTGAATTTAAGGCAGCTGTAGTTGAAGAGGCAATCTTGGAAAAAGTTGAGACTGGAATACAGGAGAGGAATGTTGGTCGTTCTTATGCTAATAATTTACTGGTTCTCATAGCAGGAGCTGTTGGGATCTCTACCGAGAAATCAGTATTGAAGAAGGAACTTGAAGAGTTTAAAAGTGAGATTGAGAATACTCGGCTGAGAAAGGACCAGGCAGAAGCTATACAAATGGATCAGATAATTGCTTTGTTAGAAAGGGCTGATGCTGCTTCATCTCCTAAGGAGAAAGAGATTAAATATTTTACCAAGCGGAAGTCTTTGGGTAGTCAACCTTTGGAACCTCTGCAATCTTTTTACTGCCCCATCACTGGAGATGTTATGGTGGACCCTGTAGAGACCTCTTCAGGACAAACATTTGAGAGAACTGCAATAGAAAAGTGGTTTGCAGATGGAAACAAATTATGTCCACTGACCATGACCAGTCTAAACACATCAGTTCTACGTCCTAACAAAACTCTGAGGCAATCAATAGAAGAGTGGAAGGATAGAAATACTATGATAACAATTGCTTCCATGAAACCAAAACTAATGTCTGAAGAGGAGGAAGACGGTATCCACTGCCTCGAACAGCTGCAGCACCTCTGTGAGCAAAGAGAACAGCATCGGGAATGGGTTATATTGGAGAACTACATACCAACTCTTATTCAACTTCTTGCTGAAAAAAGTCGTGATCTAAGGAGTCGTGTTCTTATCATTCTTCACATTTTGGTGAAGGATAATGATGATGCTAAGGTAATGTTAGTCAAACAACATTTCTCTTTCTCATCTCTCTGCGTGCTTGTGTAGGATATTATGTGCAATAAAGTGCTTTCATCTTATTAAACTTTTTGTTTGGAATGTGAAACACAGCCACCTGATTAGGCACGTTCTAAAATCAGTTTCATGTTAGATAAAGATGCCACTACCCAAGAATATATTGGTTATTGGTTATCAACATGTGTATTTTTATTTTAGATCACCTAAAAAATATTTCTGAACTTCTGTATGGCAAACCATTAAAGTTCAGTATGGGTCACACTCTTGGACCCTATTCATATTATTTTTGGCCTTCAATTCTTCCAATGTTTTCTTTTATTTTGTCAATGGAGATAATTGACAAATTCCTTGTATGAACATAGATCCTCTGAACTAGATATGTCAGAATGTGTTCTTTGATTTTATATTCCCTTTCTTCCCCAATGGTGAATATGTTGCAGGAAAGAGTGGCAAAAGTTGATAACCCTATTGAACCTATTGTTCGCTCTCTTGGGCGTCGTATTGAAGAAAGAAAGTTAGCAGTGGCATTGTTGTTAGAATTATCTATCTTCCATGTCTTACGAGATCACATTGGAAAGGTCCAGGGATGCATCCTTCTCTTGGTGACTATGTCAAGCACTGATGATCATCAAGCTGCTAAAGATGCACACGAGCTTTTGGAGAATCTTTCTTTCTCTGATCAGAATGTTATACAAATGGCAAGGGCTAATTATTTTAAGCATCTGCTGCACCGTCTTTCTACAGGTTTTTTTCCTTCAAAAAAGGAAACTTGGGTTTCTGTTCCTGTTCTTAATAAAACTAGCATGAGCTAATAGATATTTGAGGACAATTGCTTGCGAATGGAATTCTATATATGTTCTCTGTTATTTATTGGCTTGCTTCAGTTTTTTGTTTGATGTCTCTTGTGTAATGTTGTAAAAATCTCAAGTTGCATTGCTTTGATGATACTACATGCATCTATCTTAACTTTAAAAGTTACATGAATTTCTAGTGTAAAATGATCGCACTGCAGAAAAGAAAGTTGACTTCTCAAATGGTTCAGAAGATGGACAAAGAGCTGAAAACATTGAGAAAAATAAATAAATAAAAAGTAGAAGTAGAAACAGAGGCTTTAATTTTCTGAAATCAGGAGATTTTGTTGTATTGTAATTGATGGATTTTTCTGAATCCTGAAAGAATATATGATATTTGAATTGGTAGAGGATTTCAAAGTAGATGTTTAGAGGGTTATGGTTGAAAGGTAAAATTCTGATAGGTGAACATAAATTCCTATGACAAACAGATATATTGCATTTTTTTCTGTTTTTTTGCTTATACATACATATATACATATTTATATATATATTTATACATATTTATATATATATATATATATATATATACATATATGTATATATCTTCTTGGTACCAATTATTGCTTATAGTTGTGTCTACACTTGACACCATATTGAAGAGCGCATTTTACTTATATTCCTATCTCTTCATCCATGCAGGGCCAGAACGTGTGAAAATGATCATGGCAACAACTTTGGCAGATATGGAGTTGACAGAGCACAATAAAGTCTCTTTGGTTGAAGGAGGTGTACTTGGTCCTCTCCTTTACTTGGTTTCTCATGGTGACATGCTGATGAAAAATGCAGCCGTCAAAGCTCTCTATAACCTATCAACAGTTGCAAAAAATGGCTTGCAGATGATCAGAGAAGGTGCAAAGGGCCCATTATTTAACCTCCTCCTTCACCAAAAATCATCATCTCCAAGCTTGCGGGAACAGGTGGCAGCCACAATCATGCAGCTTGCTGTATCAACTGTGTCTCAGGAATCTGGCCAGACACCAGTCACCTTATTGGAATCTGATGATGATATTTTCATGCTTCTCTCAGTTATCAATTTGACTGGGCCTGTTGTGCAAAAGAGCATTCTCCAGACCTTCCATGCCTTGTGCCAATCTGATACTGCAACTTATATCAAGAACAGATTAACAGAGGTATGTATCTTTTAGGGAAAGGGGCTTTTCCACACACTTGCATGCTTTCACACAAGTGCCTATTGATGAGCAGTAACAGCTGGTAGGTTAGAATTTTAGGTAAGTTATGCTGCTTTAGGATTTTGGAATCAATATATTGGAATCATAAAGAAGATTGTTCCTTGTATCTCCGCCAAATAGAAATATCAGTACTTACAGGTTTACATAGGTTGATGTGGCAAAATGTTGTCGTGTCTGAGATTGTGCCTAAGTTTAGGAAGACACTGATATGGTGATCATCCACCGAAGCTTGCTGAAAGCTGGAAAAACAACAAGGAATAATTACATTCATATCATATTGGAGATATTAAGGAAATGCTGTCGAAGTTGATGAAATGGCATATGTCCTACCTTAACAATGTTTAGGTTATGTTTGGAATAAAAGAAATTTTGCAAAAATCATTTACAAATGTAGACTTAGTTCAACTAGGAGAGATGAAAAATTTATCAGAAGATGACAAAAATTGACCTCATATGAATATTAAGTAGAATTGAAGTAAATGTATTTCAAATTACATCAAATTCGTAAAATTTATAGATATTTTTTGCAATATAGCTTTAGATAAAAATTAGTAAATGATTTTGGAGGTAAGGAAAAGAAATGACGAAAAAGAATGGGTTTTAAGGGAAAGGAAAAGAAAGGCATTTTTCTCATTATGACAACTAATAATTGAGAAAGTAGAGGAATGGAAAGGATTTCATAATATTTTGTCTGGTTTAGGGTATGTAAAGGAAATAACATGGTTAATTGTAAGAACAGTGTCAATTGCAACTTTTATTAGTAAAAAAAGAAAATAATGCAATCAAAGATAAATAGATAAGTATTATTAAATTTTGACTTTTTTTTTCTTTTACTTTTCTTTCCCCTCAATTTGGAAACTCAGATTGAATTTTTAAGGTGGGAAAAAGATACACTCACCATCCATGCTTCTGTTTCCTAATTTTTATTCTTTATTCAAACAAGAAAAGTGGGCCAGAATCCTATTGTTTCTTTTTCCTTTTACTCACTTCCCTCGATCCAATCATAAAGTCAAGCACAGAATAGAGGTTGAGGTGGAGGAGTTGAATAAAGTTTGAGTGCAAGAGTTGAATTTGTGACAGGAAAATAAAATAATTGAAATAACTAGGAATGATAATATGTAGGAGTCTTATAATATGTCTAACTACTATCTAATCCTCAATAGTTTTTCCTCACGAAACTGAGAAGTCTAAATTGAGAATTTTTTGCAGCCTTTCTTTTTTTTCTTTTTTTTTTTTTCTAATTTTTAGTTAACCTTTTCTTCCACCCAATCATTTATTTATCTATGCATGCTTTGTGGATTGGGGGGGGGGGATTTTGGGTGGGGGCCCCTATATAGTTAACTTTCTGCATCTAATTAGCACTAATGATATCGACAGTGTTCTGCAATCCAAGTACTAGTTCCGTTGTGTGAGCATGGTAACCTAGATGTACGAGCAAATGCCGTGAAGTTGTTCTGTTGCTTGGCAGATGATGGTGATCAAGCCACCATTTTGGAGCATGTGGGTGAAAAGTGCCTAGAGACCCTAGTTAGAATCATTCAATCTTCTAGCAACAAGGAAGAGGTTGTTTCTGCAATGGGCATAATTTCCAGTCTTCCAGAAATCTCTCCAATTACTCAGTGGCTTTTGGATGCCCAAGCACTCCCAACAGTTCTCTCGATCCTCCGCGATAGTCAGCAAAATGATCCCAGCAGAATTCAATTAGTTGAAAAAGCTGTTGGTGCCATACGTCGTTTCACTGTTCCAACAAACTTGGAATGGCAAAATATTGCAGCAAAGGCTGGTGTTATTCCACTCCTGGTTTGGTTGCTAGAGTTAGGTTCCCCCTTAACAAAGAAATATGCAGCGATTTCTCTTGGCCGGTTTTCAGAGAGTTCAGTTGCGCTCAGTAGAATCATGCCAAAGCATAGGGGATTTTGGTGCTTCTCTTCTCCCCCTAACGATATCTGTCCGGTTCATAGGGGAATTTGTGCTGTTGAATCATCATTTTGCCTTATAGAGGCTGATGCGGTGGGACCTCTTGTGAAGGTGCTTGAAGAACCAGATCCTGGAGTCTGTGAGTCTTCTTTAGATGCACTCTTGACTTTAATTGAAGGTGAGCGATTACAAAGTGGTAGTAAGGTGCTTGCAGAAGCAAAAGCCATACCACCAATGATAAAGTTTCTGAGCTCTCCGTCCCCCACATTGCAAGAAAAATCTCTCGTTGCTCTTGAAAGGATTTTCCGAATTCCAGAGTTCAAACAGAATTATGGCCCATCTGCCCAGGTGCCTTTAGTTGACTTAACACAGCGAGGTAGCAGTAGAGTGAAGTCCCTTTCTGCCAGGATACTTGCGCATTTGAATGTGCTTCATGATCAGTCTTCATATTTCTAGAGAAACTTAGTTGGCTTAACCTATTTGAATTCTATAGGGTTCCCCATTTCTTGTAGGAGGTAACAAATTCACCATAACAGTTTGGTTGCTGAGAAGCATTCAAAGATCTCAGATGAGCACAGATAACCGGGTGACGGATTCCAAATTTTCTGAAGCATGAGCGGACTAGCCCTTCGTTTAAGGTT